AAAATTTTTAGAAAATCACATTATATTAATTTTTAAACATTTATTTCTTTTTTAAATCAGCAGGGAATGAAATACTTATTTTCCCCACTATATATATATATATTTATATATATCTTACATATAAAGTACAGTGTGTGTGCTTGTGTGTGTCCAAGCAAACACCTTTTCTCCCACTGGTCTGATTTCAATGATTCAAAAGCTCTAGAAAAGTTAGGTGCAGGGAACAATTTTCGTTGAGCTCAGATTCAGGGTTGCCATATTATATGAGGTTAAAAATATATATTAATATATTATATTAGCTATTATCGTTGCTTTCATGGTTCAAGGGGAATAGGTTTTTCCTTTTATATCCAAAATTGCAGCTAGCTTAAAATTTGGAGGACTCTTGGTTTGGCCATCATCACAATAGCTAGGGAGGAGTAGATGAGATAAGCTTCAATAAACTACAGAACTCAAAATTGATCGCTGCATTTAAGTATTGAATTAAATTTTAAGCTTACCTTTAAAAGTTCAACGATATCTGCTGCCACTTAATTTAAAAATGGATTGATGTACATTGATCCTTATTTTCCGTACAAACAATTATTTTATGGATGACAGAACAGGGGGCAATTTATAATATAAAATTAATATAGTGTAAAGATGGGAAAATAGAAATTAGAATTAGTTATACATTCAACATTTGAATATATTAGCTAATTAAGTAAAATCTGTGTTATGGAATATATATGAATAAATGTGAAATTGGAGCTCAATTCTCCCATGAATTCTGAGATTAAAAAGCCCCAGCTCTACTTTATAGTAGGTATTCAAATTCACTTGACCCACAATAAAGTCAGGTTGTGACACAAGGTCAGTTTAATATGGCGAACCCAATCACGTACACTCTGGCTAAGGGTAAAAATTCCATGAAACCCTGCAACCGTTGGTTGCAAAGGCTTTGGCGTGAGCATAAAACCCTCTCTCTGGTGCAATGAAAGGATACAGCCTTGGGCATCTGCTCCCCAGGGCTGGGCACCTCACAGTGTGATTTTCCTCACTTGCGCCTCTGTCCTCTGATGGAGCCACAACTGAGTTTCACTCTGCCCAAAGACAGACACAACTGAGAGATGATACACATGTGAATTCTACTTTATAGTAATTTATTTCTGATGTTACAGAAATTGTGGCATAAGGCATTCTCTTTTGTTATGGCCCACACTGAGATTCCCATCTCCCCAATTTGTTTTTGTATCCCATTTTTCATCTGAACTGAGTCAGCCTTTGATTTTCCTGATTTCCTCATTTATTTTTTATCCTTCCCATTCCATTAGTGAGTGTGCTTCTTGATTCTGTCTATCGGAAGAATATAGCAGTCACTCTTTTTATTTTGATGGGTGGACGGGTCCTGCTAACATTGTTCAGTTTTATTTTTATCTTTGTGTTATATTTTTAGTTTGTTTTCTGTGTTCATTCCCCCCCGCCATCCCCATCACATTTCATTAATCATGAAATTTTTATATATTTTTTAAAAAAATGATGAGACCCATTTGCCAATCTAGTCTCTTAAATTCATGCAGATGAGCTACCATGGAAGAAAGCTCATCAGAACAATTACTATGAAAATATTTGTAGAAAAAACAGGCAAGCCATGTCACACAGTGGCGGGAAAGTGACTGAAACCAAAATGCAGTTCAGGATCAGTTACTCAGTTACATTACAGACCCTTCTTTGACATCAGGCTATTTGCATACTGCACTATTTCATCTGTTATCAGTTCTTTTGTAAAGTATGGCTGATTGTATTCAGGCCTTCACCATTATAATCAAATCATGTGTTGTTACTGTAGTATTTCATTTCTTAAATTAACTAATTAACTATTTGGCTCTCATACATCTAAAGTGATGAGAAAGTCAACTACTAATATATAATGGAAGAAAGACAAAAGGAAAATTTTATTCATATTATCCTTTTACAGATATATTGTAGTTATATCTTTGAATTTTTGACACACGCAAACACACATGCATACATATATATTGTTGCCATTGGCAGAACTAATTGCTGAGTATTGGTATGCTCATCAACATTTACTTCTGTGTGAAATAAGTCCTATGTTGGAACTAAAGATGTCCACAACCACTGCTTGGTAGTCTAGGAAGGTTCAGGAGATGGAGAGCACTGACTTTGGGCTTTCTTCATCTCTTCTATTTGTCTTATAGTGTTTTTTAAGGAGGTTGATTTTTTGTGGACTGCTCTTCTCCAATTGGTTCTTTCTGCAGTTTCCATCTCCTAATTGACCAGATAATTTTCTATCATCAGCAAAGTGTTTTTGAGCTGATCCTTGAATCAATGACATGTGGCTCCATGTGGCCTCTTGTCAGATGCTAGCTCGAAGAAGATGATTTGTTTGGGTAGGTGGATGTCTGGCATGTGACCAAGGTGTCTGCCCTATAAGTTAGTGGTGAGCCATAATGGCTTCTAGACTGTACATGTTTGTATAGAGGGGCACTTTGTTGTTCCTGATTGGCTTCTGCCATGTGTTCTGCAAGATTTGATGAAGTTTCATTTGATGGAATTTTTCAAGTTTCCAGATGTCTTTTCAGTAGAGTACCCAGGTCTCACAGGCATACAGGAGAGTTGCGATTACAATAGCTTGGTAGACCATGAACTTGGCAGTTTGTGTTAGCCCAGTATTGCTGAAGACACTTTCGAATAGCTTCCTGTATGCCTCCTATGTGTGTAACCGTAGGTTATCAACATCATTTTCAACAGATGCATCTGATGTTAATACACTACCAAGTTATGGAAATTATTCAACATTCTCTGGATTCAGTTTGTTGATGGTGATTTTGACTCCAGGTGGTGGTTGATGTCCTGGTTTTGGTTGGAGGGACCTTGGTCTTTGCCATGTTGATGGTAAGCCTGTAGCGCATATATACTCTGGAGTTGTCCACTGAGTTCTGGAGGCCTTTGAGTCCCTGGCCCAGGGTGCAGTTGTCTTCAGTGTATTGAAGGTCTGACTCATGCCTTTGTTGTTTGAGTTCTGGACAGGAGGTGAGGTATGTTGAAGTGAACACACCATCAGTGTAGTATCAATGGTTGATTCCAGGGTTAATCTTCTGAAATCTCCTAAAGCATTGCACCAAGTACATGGAGAAGAGGGTAGAAGCAATACACACGCTTGTTTCAAGCCCCCTGTGATGGGGAAGGGGTCCAAAAGGCCGGTTTGATGTTGGACATCATTTCCTCATGTAGAGCTTAGATGAGTGCTGTGAATTTCTCAGGACATCTGAAGATCTGCCACATGGCTGGTCTTAGAACACTGTCAGATGCTTTTTCAAGATCATAGAAAATCATTCCCAGAAGTTTTTCCTGGATTTTCATGGAGAAAATCATATCAATGGTTCCTTTGTTGGCTATGAAACTGCATTGTCTTTCAGGGTGGATGTCTCTTTCAGGAGAGAAAATCCACATTAGTTTCAACAAATGCTTCTATCACCTTTCTTGAAGATGGTGATGATATTTGCATCTTTCAGATCTGATGGAACTTTCTCTTTTTCCCAGATTCACAGGAGGAGGAGGAAGATTCTTATTTTGAGAGGTAACCCACCATGCTTGATCAGTTCGAGGTGGATATTATCAAAGGATCAGATGGACTTGAATGCATCTTTAAAACCAGTCTTGATAGAGTTCAAAAGTATTTCTGAGTCCTTGTTGGAGAAAATTATTTTCTACCCTCCAACCTCTCTCTCACAGGTGGGAGTCTTTCACTGCTTTATCGCTACTACCTTGGAAAGTGCCCTGATGAACTGCATTCCTTGGTTCCACCAGGTCTAACCTTCATGGCTAGGACCTGCCATGCCATGTAGCACCCCCCAATATTCCATCTCTGGAAGTAAGTTCCACTCAGACAGCTTCTTTACACAAACCACTGCCCTGTGGAACAGACTCCCAAGAGCATGTTTCCCCAATCACTACAATCTTAACCTGTTCAAGTCTAGAGTTAACCATTATCTACCCCTCCTATACATATAAACCACCCTTTAACATAATACTCTGCTTCAAGCGGCCCATATGCCTTTTACAAGTTAAACCTTACAATATATATATATATATATATATATATAAAACCTAATGGAATGTTAAAAAGTTCCCAGTTCACAAATTATGACCAAATATCATACAGGCTTTTTAGCTAGAATAAAAAAAATTTAGCACCACCTACTATGAACAAAGAAAAAATACTTCTAATTTTAATCATAGCCTTGTTTCACTCGTTACCATTATGATCTGAAATTACTTTGTGATTAAGAAAAATTGCATTTTGGAATTGGTTGCAAGAAAATGAGAAATAGGGAAAGAAAATTAAAGAGGAGACATAATAAACAAAGATGAAAGTTAAGATTATGATAAAAAAAAGGGATGAACTAGGTAGATAATTATTTTCAGTTTATTTTAATCTAATTATCACATTTAAATTATGGGAATAATTAAAATTGAAAGTATTAATAATTAAAGGATCACTCATGTAACTGTTGATGAAGAATTTAGATAAAAAAATTTATATTAAATTATACAATGGGTTAACAGAAAAGTTTTGTAACAATTTCTAACAATTCCAAGTTAAAGTTGCCCTTGACCTAGATACGTTTATTATTGTAATCTTTGTATATTGGGTACTGCATATTACGGGTGAGTGGTGGTTACATAAAAGCTGGAAAGAATGATGGGCAACAAGCTTTTTTTTTCTTTGCAAACAGGTGTCAGCATGTGAATGGACAAGAAAGGAAGAAGAAAGAAAATTTTTTTTTTTAATTGTCTCTATATATCAGCGAGACCACTAGAATTATTTTAGGAAAATGACAAAAGTCTAGTGATTACATCAGATTTGAAAAGAAAAATGTCTGGGTAAAATTTCTAGTATCCTTAAAATTCTGTTTTAAAATATTGTGTAAATTTTCAGAGAAAGCAGTAGGATTGCAACATGAATGATTTATATGCCTAACTATATTTTTCAGAATGGTGAACCATGTAAAGTTGGTGTAGCTATGACTGATCTATCTACTGGACTTTATGCTCATGGTGCCATCCTTGCTGCTCTTCTTCATCAACAAAAGACTGGAAGAGGACAGTATCTAGATTGTAATTTATTGTCTACACAGGTAAGGGCAGATTTGTCTATTTTGAAGTCTTGTGTTAATAGATTTCAAATTATAGACATTTTAAAGGGGGTTCTTTTTATTCCTTTTGGCAACTTACAGTTCATGTTAGCCTCTTATAGATTGCTATTATCTACAACATTATAAATTTCTTATTTCTATGCCAAAATGATTCAGAAGAAATAATCTTTGTTACAAAGGGATCTTTTAAAAGTTGTTTAACGGAGTTGTTTCCCTTTATATTATAAAACAGTGGGTAACTCATGATCATGTCTTTAAGGCTTGGTTAAAAACACTTTTCTTAATCTATATGATAGCCACAAATACATATTCCTAACTCTCTAACACACACATGAACAGGCAAACTTATGATTCCTATGCACATGTAATATTATTATTAAAAAATTTATAGGAACAACTCAAATTCATGTCACTAAAATTCTGCTGTTGTTTAAGCTAGTTTTACAAGTCATTATTGCTAGTGAGTTTGATCTTTACTGGTGACCCACTATTGTTGATTTGTCACAAACTAGGTTACACTTAGTAAATTTGTAGATCACAGACATTTCATTTTTTAAAAAATTATTTTGATATTTGTTACTCCTTGGATGTATCTTTTTAGTGGACTTATGATTTGAACTCATATGACCTAGGCATTTTAAGAAATGTCTTTATATTTTGGTAGTTGTAGATTGATGACTTGAACGTATAAGTGAGCATAATGCTAAATTGTCTAGTAAATCATAGATAAATCATTAAACATTCCTGATCAATTTTACTTGTGTATTGTATCATATTGCTTATTCCTTAAAAGTTCTAGCAACCCTCTGGATGAGTCAACAATCTGCTAACTAAATTTGATGTCTCAATGAAATCACTATGGAGAAGGCAATGGGAAACCACTCCACTATCAATTTCCAAGATCATTCATGGCAGCTCAAAATGTTAATATCTGAGATAACAGTGTGAAGGGAAACCACTGGGTTTAACTCCTCGCCCAGAGGAATGTACAACAACCTGACCATCATTCACATACTGCTAACAAAACTGATATAAAGAATAACTTATTTAACCTTTACAGTGAGGCAATCCTGAGAGAACTGGAAGTTCTACTAGAATTTATTCCTTCAGAAGTTAGTAAAAGAGAGAAGAAAGACTAGCCATCAATTTTAAGAAAACAGAATGTATGGTTGTCAGCAAGAAAAACAGTCCAAAAATGCAAACTACAAATTGAAGATCTGTCTATATTTCTGAGATGAGGTATTATGTACACTATTTATATTATTTGGACTATTGTCCTCATCTTTGTTACCATGTTTATCACAATGTTTGTACACTCTGGCCTTCTTCAGGTGAACTGAACCTTTTATTTCGCACACTGGTGTAGACTGTTCTAGTTCCACGTGCCATGTCTAATGGATGTCAGTTATCAGTTAATTCCCCTCTCCAAGTTCTCTACTGCCTTAACCAGGTATTGAACTCACACTCTTTGTATCTTTTTCACTGGATCTAACCAAGCCTTTATCCACTGTGCCATGTGTCTTTTAGGTATTATAAACCTAATGTCTTCAGTAACCATTTTTTACCAGTGCTCATGCTGCAATTTTTGCTGTTATCATATCATGTTTTTACTAGAGCTCATATTGCAATTTTCGTTGTTATTATCACTTTTCTCACTCCTTATTACTGGTTCCCATATTGTATTCATTTCTATGCTTGGTCAGCTCAGGAGATTTTTGTGGCCTAGCATATATGCTGATTCCTTAAGTTTGCAAATTTTCCAATGATGTTCTTTCTCTATGATTTCAACCTGATCCCACAGAGGGTGGTGATCTCCCTTTTCTCTCCATATGTGATCGGCCATGCCTGATTTTTCCACTTCCCCTCGTGTTATAGCTTTCTGGTGTTCTTGAAGCCTTACCTTAAGGGGGTGGCCTGTCTCCCCTTTATATTTCTTTCCGCAGCTGCATGGGATGGTGTACACACAGTCTTTAGTCATATTCTCCTCTATGGGGTGTCTTACTCGGGAGAGTTATCTGCAAAGTTTCATCCAGCTTTTGAAGGTTGTCCTGATGTTATGTGGATCACAGATCCTTTGTATTTTCTCTGATAACCCCTTCACATAAGACAGGCAGACTATTTTCTGAGTGTTGTTGTCCTCCTCTTGTACCCACCTATCCCAGTTTATTGGTGCTGCTGCCATGTACCCAGGGTAGTTGTTACATTGTAGGGTACTACTTATACTGACCAATTCTTTATCTAATGTCTCTGGGTCACCACTTATGACTTTTGCTCGATGTTGTAAGCAGCGGACGATCCCTTTCTTTACACTGTATGGATGGTGGGAGTCAAAATTGAGATATTGTCTGGTGAATGTCGATTTACGGTATACAGATATCTTGAACCCATGCTCTGTTCAAGTTGTTAGAACATCCGGGAATGGGAGTGTGTTGTTACTCTATTTCTCCATCATGAACTATATCAAAGGTCTTATTGAGTTCACATGGCACAGTAGAACCTGAACATCTTCCTGGTGTGGCCAGAGTATGAAGGTGTCATCTAAATACCTTAACCATAGAGTTGGCTTTAGAGATATAGATACTAATGCCATTTCCTCAAAGTATTCCATGTATATATTCGCAGGTTGATAATGGCAAGCTCATTGCTAAGCCCTCATCCTGTTGATATATATGTAATATATATTATCTATAATCTGATGGAGATGTTGACTTTCTGTACACAAACAACACACTTCGGAATGGGATCACATTTTGCACCTTTTTATGTATTCTCCCACATTTGTAGAATAGCCTGGCCGCCATGCCTCTAGCCTTTATCTCCTTTGCATAGATGTTATTCCACAATAAATATCATCATGTATACTTCTTATAACTTTGCTCTTTTGCATTGCTGGCAGAATCACTATATTTCTCTTACAAATTACACCCTTTTCTACAGTTAATTTGTGTTTAACCTCTTTAAAGCACCTTTCTACTTGTAAGCAATCATTCCACTTATTATTTTTTATCCTGAATAATATACTGTTCATTATCAGGTCTTGCTTAGTATCCTCAGCTAATTTGTCTATCAATAAAATATCAGTTTCAACCCATGTAAGGAAGTATCTTCGAATTTTTCCTCTTCTTTCTCACTTTCAGAAGTAAGAAATCTCAATCTTGACAAAGCATCTATATGCAGAATGCTATTGCCGTTCACATACTCAATATCAAAGTCAAACACCATTAACATTATGACCCATCTTAAAATTCTAGAAAATGTTACCTTAAGAAGTTCCTTCCTAAGATTAAATTTGAATTCTAAAGGTCAATGGTTGGACCTTAGTAGGAATTTCTTTCCAGTCAGAAACTGACAAGTTCTGTTTGTTGTCTATACTATGGCTAATGCTTCTTTCTCAATATTTGAGTAGTTCAATTCAGCTTTTTGAAAATTTTCTTGTTAGCTGTTTAAAAAGAGTCAGTGTCATCCAGTATGGTGGCTACTTCTACACAACTCCAGATCAAGGGAAATAATCAACACTCCCTATCTTTCATTTGTTGTCCCTTTTTTACGGCTGATGTTTCCTTTGTTTAAGATATCACAGAGAATCTCTGATGATGCTGTCAAGAGGTAAGCCAGTTGACTTCTGGTATCAATCAGCTTTACCTCACTGGTTTCTCACTTTGCCATCATATACTTTATAATGGATAAAGGCTTCAACCAGTATCAAAATCTTTTCTTCAAGGGTTCTGGAAGTCAACAAGATATTTGTTGTCAATAAAGCATTTGATTTGAATTTTACCTACACTTCCCTGAAGAATTTTTTCCAGAATTGTTTTCAGGTAAAATGGTGTTTCACTTGCTACTTATAGGGTCAAGCATTCAGCTGCTAATGAACTCCTTATGTTGTTCCTCATTTTCTGTCATTGCCTATGAACAAAGCATGTGTCCCCTCCTTCTCAGCAAGCAATATCAAGAGAGGCACCATCTGGAAAGTTTTTAAAAGAAGCATCAGAAAATGTTAATATTATGGAATTTTCCACACTGTTTAATTTCTTAAAGGTTAAGGACAGTTTATTCTGCTAGATTTTCCCAGATAACTTTGTTTGCTCTGTATATATCTGAGACATTGGTGTTCCTTAAACTATTACTGTATCAAAGGATATATCTGGTCTTGTTTAATTTGCAGTCCAGAGCAATTGCTCAGTGGTAAACCAAAACTCATCCTTTTCTCTCTTAGACTCCTGTTCTTATTTCTATTTCCTTTAAGCTGTATTGGTTCATACTTTGATTGATTCAAGTGAATACTGTTATTCAGTTGATCAATATGAATACCAGGCTATTTAAAAGCTTTAATATCATTACTGATATTTTAAAATTTTGTCTCAGTTTTTTTTATTACTGAAGAATTGAAATGATCAATTCCAGCCCAAAAGAAATTGTCTACATGAGCTGAAATAACACCATGCAGATGTTTCTCACAATGGTAGAAAAATATAGCTTCATCATATCTGCTCCTCATCTGTAAGGAAATCAGCTCTCTAGAAATACACAAATACCACATTTTTGTTGCTTCATTGAGACTCTACACACATTTTCTCAACTGCTAAATTTTGTCTGTATTTGCCCCCTTCTGCAATAGAAGCTCTTGAAAACGTTTTGTTCTTGCTTTGTGAGTTCTTATTTGCATTAGTGTTGGTTTCAAATTCTGCATTCTTATGCATTAAACGGGTTGGTTGAAGCCTTATGTACACTGATCCATGTTTCACCATCATTTTTTGACCTTCTACTCCGATCACACAGCCAGTTCCCTTCCGTGCTGCCATTCCCTCTCTTTTGTAGTAAACTATCTCCATTTTGGCATATTTTTGATGTGAAATCTTTTGTACTTGCTCTCTTCACTGGATTCTGCTGAGATAAAGGCCTGATAAGCTGAGTGATGTGCATTTAGGCTTTTTACAAGAATTTCAGATTTTGATGTGTCATCAATGGCTAGTAGTTAGTTGAGAACAGATGGAAAATTTGGACTTTTTCCAAACAAAAGCTAACTTGGAAAATAGCCGTGGATATTAGCTAAGACATTTTTTGCTAAGATTGTATCTTCCTTCCACCATATTTGTCAGTATGGCATTATGGTGCTCATTTATCCCATTGCTTCAAGGGGATTCAGCTGCTGTATTTACTATCTGTGTATTCATTTTCTCGCCCATCTCTTGTAATTCTTTTCTATTGTCACTGAATATCATATTAGGTGTACCAAAAACCACAGTCTCACTTCATTTTGATGGGAGAACATATGCTGCACTGAATCAGGTGGCATAGTCATTTATATGCAGGATCAAATTTTCATTCAAATCTTTCAAATCCATAGCAATTGGTCCATTAAATTCTTTAGACAGAGAAAGACATACAATTCGTTTGGGGGGGGGTCTTATATTTTACACATATCTGCAAATTTTCATAAATTTAGCTTTACTCTGTCATCAGTGCCACCATCCATTAGAAGTTTCTTCAGTCTACTCCCACTAGCATGATTGAACTGTTTATGAATCTTCATACATAATTTCTTTTTTCTGCATCATTTGCTTGTGTAATTTTATGAAGATTAGAGAAATACACATGCACTGGCTTATTTTCATTATCCTGATATGCTGCTCTGGAGTTTGTGTTGATTTGTACTGCATAATGCCCTGACAATGTGAATTTGAGATTTTTTTTCTTTTCCAATCATAGACTTTGTCTTTTTGGCAGTTAATTGTAGTTTTTGATTTTTTCATTGCATCATTACTAAGAAGCAAAGGGATATCGTTACTGATAGCATCAGTTTCAATTGTTATCTCTTTGGTACCTATATTGGTTGGAATCTTTAGTGAAGGGTACACTTTGTTATCTCCAAAACAGAATTTCTTGTCACTTTTTTGCTAAATTATTTGTTTCTTGCTCCTTTCATCCAGTGACTTAATATAACATTACAACCAATTTTAAAAGCATATATTCGTAGTACAGCCACTATCCAATTCAGCACATCCAAATGTTTCTCCAAGCAACCTGCATTAGGTCTTGGCAAGCAAGGTAATATTCACTTCCTCTTCATAAAGTGCTCCATTTGCATGTGATTAATGAGGACAATTCTTTGCCCAGTGAAGGATAGATTTGCAAATAAAACATTTTGTAGTTCTTCCAACTTGGTCAATTGGGTTTCTCCTGCTAATGCTACTTTTGGAGGCTACATACTTTCTTCTGTTGTTCCCTTGACTTCCAGCTGCCCTACCTATGCTGCAAAATCTATTCTTTTGTATGTAGAGTGTATCTGCTAGTTTCTCTTTGATGATTTTGGTTAGGCTATAAAGTAAAGGCTTTCAGTGACCTTAAAGAGGAAATTGGGAAAGTATTGTTGCACTCCATTGATGAGACAATACCACTCATAGTAGAAATCAATGCTTCTAATAATGCAGCTACTCTGAACCAAGCTGGTCATCTGGTTGCCTTCTTTTCCTCATACACTCACTCCCACAGAATGCAAGCATGTCTCTGTTGAAAAGGAAGTCTACACCATCATAGAAGCTGTGAAAAAATGATGTCACTACTTTTCAGACAAAAGTTTACAATAATCACAGATCAGCAAGCTGTTGTTCCACTCAAAAAGACTGGTAAAAATTAAAAACAACAAAATTCAATAATGGGATAGATTTGGGATGCTACGGGTATAACCCGGCAAAGATAATATCCTAGCAAACACTCTCAAGAAACAAAAATTATTGGACCTTCACATTTGTCTTTGTCATCCAGGAATAACAAGACTAGCTCATTTTGTCAGGACCTTCCTTACTCTATTGAAGAAGTAAGAAAGGTATGTACTGAGTGCCTCATATCTGCTTGGCTAAAACCATGATTTTACATTCCAAGGACATCCCATATTATCAAGGCTGCAAAACTTATGGAATGAATCAGCAGGATTTCAAAGGGCCCCTAACTTTTGCCTCCAAGAATTGTTACTTACGCACATTAATAGATAAGTATTCTTGTTTTCCATTCACATTCCCATGCCCAAACATAAAAACAGAAAACATTATCCAATGTCTAAATCAGATATTCTCTGTGTTCAGCATGCCTGCATACATCCATTCTGATCGGGGACTTTCATTTTTGTCAAGTGACCTGACAAAATTAGGAATTGCATCAAGCAGCACAACGCCTTATAATCCACAAGAGAATGGACAATGTGAGCATTACAATGGCATTGTCTAGAGATAGATTACACTGACCCTGGCATCTAAGAAACTTAGAGAATGTCTATAGGAGCAAGTATTACTTGAAGTGTTACACTCTGTTAGATTTTTAATCTGTATCTCCACAAATGCCATACTTCATGAAAGACTCTTTTCATACCAGCACTGTTTTCCCCTTTACCTAGGTGGCTCTTTCTACCAGAACCTCTTGTAGTACATCATGTCCATGCCGGTAAATAAGATCCTCTGGTTGATGAAATGGATTTGTTAGAAGCAAATACACAATATGCCCACATATGCAGATGGATGCGAATCGACAGTCTCAGTATGTGACTTAGCTCCAACTGGTGATATGTCACAAGGCAGGAAGACATCTAACATTCATGTAGATACTGGTTCGATGGAATCTGTGATTTCACTTACTTATTCGAAAGACTTGAATGTTCCTGAACAGCAGAATACTACAGTTGGAATTCATGTACCAAGAGTTAGTGGTTCTCCTCCCAAGGAATTTAATAATCACTCCAAATACCAATCACCAACTGAACTCCCCACAAAGACAATCTGTAAGAGAATGCCGTAAGCCTGTTCATTAAGTCTTTAAAGAAGGAGATAATTTGGTATTCTGAGCACTTGCCTGTTCCTGAAAGGAACAGGTCTTTTCCTAAAATCTCCTTTTTGATTTACTATTAATAACCTCCCTTTGTTGTTGCCTCTTCAATAGAAAATGTAGCCATCATTAAAGCCTTCTAAATGTCTCACATCTTGTTATCACTTCACCCACCATAGGCACATTATCTTTTTTGGTACTGATATTGATGATGCATTTCACTTTTAATCTTGTATTTATGTTGTAAAATATCCACTTTTTCCAGGTTAAAATTTGTTTAGAAAATAGAACATTTTCATTATATTCATAGAATCACATGCAGAAACATGATTCAATTGTATTTTTCTTTTTGTTCATTTTTAATTTTCTGCAGGCTGCATGGTCTAGAATAACCAAACTAGTATAAATGATTTTAAGCACTTGATTATTTTTTCTATTTTAGTTATATTTTTACCCTTCTTAAAATAATAAAAAAACAATATGCTGAAAATGTAACTTATTTTCTTTCATCAACTAAGAATATGCCAGTTTTGACAAAATTTTAAATAAAAATAGATTGATATGGAAGTTAATAGAATTCTGTGCATACATAATTTAATGCTATTATTTCACTTTTGGAGTGCAGAAGTAAACTTCTGCACTCCAAAAGTTTTACATGTTTACACTTATTTCAGCAGTTTATTTTTATTTATTTGCAGTTCACATGACATAAAAAGCCAGCTTAGTTTTTATTAAATGTTCTTTATGTATAAAAAATATGTCCTTGTCCTTCAAAAAATTCACTCATATCACAAAAGAGTTCATACATAAAATTTTGTCTATTTTAAAAAAAAATACAGATGTTTTCTTTGCCATTAATTTTCCACTTACATATGCACATATTTATATGAATTATTAACTTTTTTCTCCTCAGGTAGCATCCTTAGTCAACTTGGGATCCAACTACTTAAATGCTGGCAAGGAAGCTACTCGACAAGGCACAGCACATGAAAGCATTGTTCCATATCAAGTAAGAAAGCTTTAGAGATGTCAAAAATCTTCTTACTGACCATTTATTCTTTCACCTTCAATGGGAAATATAATATTGTTGAACAGTTTGTGTTTGTAAATATGTACAAGCCTTAAAATGTGCTGAATTATTCATTGGTTCATTTTCCACAGCTTATCAACTCTTTGCAGGTTATTTAAAGCCAGAAAATATTTTTAGATTGTAAGAATTTTTCTTTTTGAAATAATAATGGTTTAGTGATACAAATTTCTTATTAATTAACCACATAGCTGGGGGGAGAAGAGCTGGATTCATACCTTTCCTAGGGGTATTTGCTTGTAAGTTAATATAATGAACATGACGGGAATTGGAACTTGGCTCTTCAGTTACCAATTCCAAGCTATTAACCATTACACCACTCATGCATCTAAACTTACAGCACCTAGTATTCCCTATGGTCACCCATCTAGGTACTGACCAGGCTCAATGTTGCTTAACTTTGGTGATTGTACAGGATAGTTTTATAAATTTTCAAATTAGTTATTGTTGAGTTTTTCCCATAGCTTGTTGGGTTGCAATGGTAAAGTTGACATAACAATAAGAAGTAATATAGGAAAGGAGAATTGAATTAGAGGTTTACAACATAACAAATTTATTTACCAACTGATTATACAGCAGAAAAATAAAGGAAGTGTTACATTATCCTTTTTTTAAGAGAGTTCCTTAAAAAGGGAGATAATCATATCCACAGTTTACTCTACCATCCCCCTTTAAACTTTGGATTGTTAAGTCATTTGAAGCTATTAAAATGTCATCAACCCATACTAAAATTATTACTACTTGCTTATCTTTATTTGTTGCAAACATACAAGGATCAATGATACTTCACTTGAAATTTTCTTTTATGAGTTCTTGACTTAATAAGTCATTTCAGTTCTTTCCACTCTGTTTTAGTCCATACAGTGATTTAATTTATATACTAATTTTTTTCTTCTCTCTTCCTGAAATTTAAGTTTCACAGTCAATTTTTATATTAAGGTATACAGACTTAACATCCATTTGGTGCACTTATCAAGTTATATTATGCAACAAATTGCGTCAATGTTCTTATTATAGTCATCTTAGTAGTAGATGTATGTTTCATGATAGTCTAAGTCCTTACTTGATTAAATCCTTTAGCTACATATCTTGCTATATAATCTATTGTGTTGTTGGTATGTTCCTTAATAGTATACACCCATTTAAATTTTTACCAATGGGTAAGGTTGTTATTGTGAAAGTATTGTTTTCCTTTAAGGATTTAATTTTCTTTTACAATTCTTATGATTCAGGAGAATTTATGTTCCATCAGTAAGTAATTACTGATAACAATAATAATAAAGATTAAGGGATATGCTTCTTATTGTTTGTATCTGCCCATGGAGACCATTCCGGGGGGGGGGGGGGTAATAAAATTTGTTAATACGTGTTTGTCATCACTCCTACTATCTAAGCAGCAGTAGACCCCAGAGTGATTCACATTCTGAGATGAATGTTACCCTCGTGAATGAAATAATTTATGGCTTCAGTATAAGTTTGAGTTGAGGAATATCAATTATTTTATGACAAGAATCCACATTAAGATATGCAGAATAATGGTCGCTAACCTCATCACCAGTAGTGTAGTCATTTAGATAATTTTTTTTTTTTAAGCACTTCACCCCAAGCAAGGTGTGAGTGCCACTAGCATGCAAGGAGTTACAGAGAGTAAAAGTAAGAGTAAAGAGCAGTGTTTGAGGAAAGGATAAAAAGAGAAGGACGGGGCTCAAGATCAAGACATCAGAAAATGGCAATTGACATTACATTTAAATTTTTGAAGATTATAGCTATCAGGGAAGCAAGTAAGAGGAAGGGAGTTCCACTGCCAGGAAGTGAGAGAAGAAACTGTTGGAGTAGAATAGATGGTTACATTACACTCTAATAGCACACTTAAATACATGCAGTTGTGGCACCAGTGAAAATAGCTCGTCAGAGTAGTTGCCATGAAAATATTTGTAGAAAAGACAGAGGGAAGCCACATCACATCTGTGAGAAAGTGACTGGAGTTGAGATGCCAGGTCAGGACCTAACACATTGCATATCCATCTTGGGATTTTGTCGAGAACCTTGAAATGAACAGTAGGGGCACCAGACCATATATAGCAACAGTATTTGGTGCAAGGACAAATGGTAGATTTGAAGGATGGACTCAGATGAGAAAAACTTTCTAGCATGACACAGAGAAACAACTTTCCTTGCCGTAGATGTAGCTATTGATTCAATGTAGTTATTTCACCTCAAATCAGTGGAAAACGTGAGACCAAGAAGGCACAGAGATGCACTCTCATGAAGTTGGGCACCAGCCATACTGATAGGAGGCAGGGAGGTTTCCCTATGGTGAGTAAATGAGAGCAGTTTCATTTTGGAGGCATTAAAATTTACATGCCCCAGTCAACCACAGATTGGAGGTCCTTTTTGAGACTGGCAGCCAGGTTAGTTTTGTCAGCAATGCTGGATTTACTATTGAGACAGGAGTAAATGGTAGTGTCATCTGAGTAAGATGCCTACTTGAGAACTGATGATATCAGGAAAATTGTTGATGAAGATCAGAAACAATGTAGAAACCAGGATAGAGCCTTGGGAAACACTAGCATTCGTATGAAAGCACCTGGAGGAGAACCTGTTTAAGACAACCTTCATTTCACTGTTTGACAGGAATGATTAGATTAAATCAAGTAATCATCCTGTAATACTGTAATCCTGAAGCTTACATAGAAAGCCGGCATGCCAAAACCTATCAAATGCCTTAGAGATATTTAGAGCCACAGCTTGAGCTATTATCAAGAACTTGTTATATAAATTCATTTATGGTCGTAAGCATGTCAGTGGTACCATATTGTTTGTCAGAGAGTAGATCATGGGACTTAAAGTGCTTAACTTCAGCATTGATTAAAGCCTCAAAGACTTTACTGAAGAGTGGTAGGAGAGTGATAGGACAGTAGTTAGGTGGGTCAGGAGGGTCAGAGTTCTTAAAAACAGCGACAACAGAGGAGGACTTCCAACAGGCTAGAAAGCAAGTGTCAGTGAGGCAATAGTTATATAGTGTAAGTAAAATCAGGAACAAACAATAGGAAGGGAACGGGTTGGCCTGGCACCGCCTACTTCCGGAAGAAAGAAACTCCTCATTTCGAAACACACAACGTAGTTATCCAAAAAAACAATCACCTCAAAACTCCACTGATCTTCGCACAACACCGCCTCGTAGTTCGCTACACACGATCTCCCCAGTGGTCTCTCGCCGTCACATTTACAGCCAAGTTCACCTCTTACCAATCCTCGCAGCTACGAGATCGCGTTTCCCATAAGACCGATTCACCGTAATGGCAGTGTTTCTTCCTTCGGATCAATTACTGCCCTGCATGCCAGACGCAAACGAACCCTCTTATGTCGAGAACTAAGGTTAGTCTCACTTTCATGTCCACATATAGTTTGGAGAGAACTGGAGCCAGTTCAGGAGCACATTTCTTTAGGACTATGGCTGGTATCCCGTCACTACCATTTGCTTTATGAGAGCCTAATTTAGAGATGATGTCCTATACTATCAATGGGGTTATGCTCATCTCACTCAATAAAACTTTAGTTCTAGTGGGAAAATTAGGTGTGGATACTCAGGATGTCAAGTGTTGAGTTGGATGAGACTTTCCAAGCTGAGGAATTTAGGACTTCAAATTGATTGAATGGAGGAGAGATTGTGGATTTTCTGTTGTTCAGCATACTCTTGCAGAGTTGCCAATAATCATGAGAACCAAACTTGCGAGATGCAATACGTTGTTTCATTCTATCAGCAAAGAGTAACTTTGCTTCATTGAGGACATGCTTGCACTCATTATGAGCAGAGACAAAGAGATGTCTGTTGCAATCAGACATGTTACTCCAGTACAAATGGAAGAAATGGTTCCTATGGGCTATAGCAGTTGAGAACCAAGGAGTTGAGTGTGATTTAACTTTGTATTTTCTTGCTCAGATGAAAGCCTCTGAAGAGAGAAGAGGACGACCAAAGAGATGGGACCAATGAAAGTAGTTCACTGGATGAAAACTTGGTGAATGTAAAACAATATAAATATGGGCCAAACAGCATCCAGACATTCTTGTGCACACTGCACCACGAAGCAGTCTACACGTTACAGCCTCGGTGCTGGCTTTTACCTAGGAAGAGACCTCAGATGCACATTTTTGAATAGGGTGATTAAAAACCACATTCCTAGGGATGTTGCGAAGGTAATCATGGAATGAGTCCCAGTGTTAATAACAGAAAGATATTCTATTACTGGGAGGTTCTTGGTTGGAGGGGGAGTGGAAGGAGATGTTAATAGACACTATGGCGTGATCAGAGTTACCAAGAGGGCAGAATTGCATAGCGCAACATGTGTCAAGGATGGAAGTAAAACAGACATTGAGAAGGGAAGCATTACCATCCATGTTATTGGTTAAATGTGTAGGAAAGTCAACCACTTGCCTGAGGGATTGAGTGATTGAAAAGTTAAAGGTTTGGATGCCAGTGAGGTCAGTTACAGAGTATTTAAGCCACATAGTATGGTGGGCATTAAAGTCACTGAACATGAATATGTGTGCAAACAGATGTAGAGAGATGGCTTTGTCTATATTATCAGAAATGCTATTGAGTATACCACCATGAGAGGAAGGGGAATGATAGAGAAAGAAGAGATAGCTTACTGAATTGAGGAGAGATAGACAGAGACACATATACGAATGGTCTGGAGATTTCAAATAGAGTTCCCTAGCCAGCAGGAGATGATTGTGGACATAAACTCCCAGGCCATGCATGTGGATTTTAGAGCTCTTTCTCAGAAGAGGAAGGTAGTTGAGAATTGAGAAATCAGAGGAAGGGATTGATGAGTTAAAGTTAGTCTCACAGAGAGTTAGTATATCAGGAGACTTTTTCGAAGAGGAATGATTCCACAAAAGAAAATGATTCCACACTGCAGAAGTAGGTACGAATACCACAGATGTTGGTGTAGGAAATGTTAAAGGGTGATTTTTTTTTTTTTTAGCTGGTTTAGGTTTATATTTTTGGTTGTTTATAGTCATGTTGTGTTATGTTTAGAAAAAGGCCTAATGTAATAGTAGCAGAGAGTCATTATATATGACATGGGCAGAAAGGAACTGGCACAGACTGCAACATAATGTGGCCTCAGGGTTGCCCACCCTTCCATGTGTGACATGGCACTGCAAGAACTTCGATATTATGCAACTGTTGATCAGAGCAGCCTCTCAAGACACTATGCAAGTATTCAGGCTCCTTACTACCAGTCGGGAATAGCAACCAGAAAACTGACAACTTGGTACCTTCAATATGAAGAGACATTGCCACAAACTGCACACATCACAACAGCACTACTACTGAGGTCAGAGAAAAGGAAACGAACCCCTTCCTAAACAGAAAACAAGGGATGAGCTTCTACTCTTGTTCAAGATGAGAGAGAGGAGTATTGACCACGTGATAGGAAAGCCTATTTACTCCTATTTAAAAAAAAAAAAACACAAACAAACAACAAACAAGAAATTGATCAACAACCTGCATGGCATCCAGAGAAGTTATTGTTGAAAAGAACTGGAGAGCCAAGTTGGGAGCCACAGATACCACGGCACAAGCTACGTATGTATAGCTTGCTCATGAGCTAGAATAGCATAACGGGAGATGCTTGTGCATTTATTACACCCACCCATATGGACTAGTATGGATGGGTACAGGAGAAGCTTATGAGTCAGAGGGGGATATGGATAGGGAATCTGAAACTGAAATATAAAGTTTAAGTGCCAACATGAACTTCCTGTCGAAGATGACACTCCATGTCTGTGAGCCATGAATAAAAACAGCATCTAATACTTGCATGAGCTGGCATTTTTCGCTGTCTGAGTAGATATCTGGAATTTCTATCATTTTCAGTGCTAGAAATTTCTTCACAGTGTGGTATTATTTCACTATCAGTTCCACTCTGATCATTATCTTCATATATAGGTACATTAATTTTTTCTTCTACAGATTGGTCATGAGTTATCCTTGGATTAAATTCTTCAAAATTATCTTACCTCTTCTTGATTATTTTCCTTTTTTCAAGTAGCAAATCTATTTATTATTCCATTTATTATTCAAATTATATAATCAACCATGCTTCTTTATATTAAACTTGACTTCATTTCCAATAGTGAAGCTGAGTTCTGTGAGAATTTTATAAGAGCTCACCTTTCTGAGGTAGCATGTACTAAAAAGATATTTTAGTTAAAATTTGGAACATAGAGAATGTTATTCAAATACATGCTGTGTTCAATACCTTTCACATCCTATAACATTAATTTAATAGTTCCCTTTTTCAATGCAATATTATTTCTTGATCTGTCAGCTAATTCAATAAAAATGTTCATTTGGATTGAAATTCTCTTCAAATTTTATAAATTTGTGTTCATCATTTACAATATGTGTGGTCACTCCACAATCAACATGTAATTCAAAATTAATCCGTTGAATATTTGGGTTTATTTGTAGTAAAAACTTGTATTTTCTCTCACATTGTTAACAATGTCTCTTTTTCTTCTACAAAATTTTGTGTTGTATTTTTGGTTCACAGAATTCACACCATCTTCTGTTTTATAGGCATTCTTTTACCTTGTGGCCATTGTTGTTATATTTGAAGCACGTGTGTGAGTGGTTTTGGCACATTTTTCTTTATACAGATTTTCATCACTTATACTTTTCAATTTGTGTCTTCACTTCCATTAAAAGCATGTAACAAAGTTTTAAATTCCTATAGAGTCAGAATTTCTTAAGATTGCTACTGCTTTGTCAGTACTGTTAAATCCTCTTCTAACAGTTTTGTGAGGGTAGGTAATTCAGTATATAGCACCCTTATTTTAGGTTTTCCTTGGCCCATGTAGTGTTCTTTTAAAATTTTTATCACTCTTTGTCTGTTGTCTTTTGCATCTTTCATCACTAATGCTAAACTCCTGTCATCAAGTACTTGAATCAACTCTGCAAAAATGTCTTCATTCTTTTCCTAGTCAATGTTCTATTACTTGAGTTCATTTTTTAATTTTAATGTCTGGAGGTACCCCATAAATTTTACTTCCCACAGTTCATAATTATTTTAATTTCCATTGAATTATATATTCTGCATCCTGATCCTATAACTTATTGGGTTGCAATGATAAGTCAATAGGTAAGTAGGAAAAGAGAATGAAATGAGTATTAGTAGCACTAGTGGTTCAGCTGTTTGTATTTTATTGGTTTCTGAGACAAACACCTCTTCCTGTAAAAAGTAAATAATGCAAACCCTGGTAAGATTTATGGAATTAACACATTTGTAGAATGTTCACTTTTCTTTTTATTTAGCAATAAATAAACTAATAACAGATAAGACCAAAAACATTTTTTATTTAACCATAGCATTCTGACTTTGTAAAATACACTTTAAACAAGCTACATTAAATTATTTAAATTAATGGTATCATTTTTTCTTAGCCATAAAAAACCCCAAGGTAAACATCCTCCAAGTATGCTAATTCCATAATTCTTGATTTATCTACTGATAGATTTAATATAACTTATTCTCAAATAAATGTAGCAATTTCCATATGAATTGACAATAAATGTTCAGTTTTATTCACCTTTAAAGTATTACCAATCCAAAAGACAAAACTAGCAGATACACCAACAATTTAACCAACAATTTAATTTAATCTTTAATGAAATGAGAGTGAGACCAAATGAAGGGGAAATGTCAGTAATGTTTAAATTAGATGAACTGATAGCTGCAAAGGATAATTTTAAAAACTGTATTGATTTGATGAAGCCGAGATTCAAGGTCAGATGCAATATCTAAGTTTGTGATTTTAATTCCTTTAGAAATTTCACAAAACACCTGTGAAGATATGGTTTTACATTGATGCGACAAATCATTAGTATTTTAATTGCAGATATTATTATTTTTTTTTTCCTGTGCTTCCTTATTAAAATAGTTTTGTATAAATAAATAAATTAGATCTCTTCATTCTAAGAGGGCCATAACAAAGATGATTTTTATTTCCAGGTGGAAGTAAAATTTAAAAAATAGGCATTAAGAGTTTTCTCATTTAAAAATTATTAAGTATTTATCTTTCCTAAATTACTTATTTGTTTTCTCTAGGGATTTGCCACCTCTGATGGTTATATTTTGATTGGAGCCGGAAATGATACACAGTTCAAGGCTTTATGTAAAGTAAGTAAAGTGATAAACTATCTTTTTTTAAAGAGTCTAGTAATTTACAGCATTTCAAACAAGAATATGTAGAATTTATCTGGTCATTACTCAGCATATTAGCTATTATCCATACAGTTGTTAGATAAAATGCAATTCTTTAGTGTGCATGTTTGAAAAATTTAACAAAATGAAAATAAATCTGTGGGATCACTGAAAAAGATTTTACACTGACTGAGGAGCTGTTTGCCACCACCCCACCCCAATAATATGGTCATTCATTTGATCAGAATTTGGAAAGTATATCTGGTTGAAAGTTTTTTGGACCCTATATACAATTCCAATTTGATCTTAAAGTCTAAAACTGCTCAGCTTTTCCTGTTATGCTATGGGATTACTGATGACCAAACAAAATTTTTTTTTGTTGGGAGAGCAGATTCACTTCTTGGTCAAACAGAGAACTTTTCAGCACCTTGTATTAATATATTTCTAGTTTTAAACTGCTATTACATAAGCACACACACAAGAATGGATCATTAAATCTGTTGTCTGACAGTTATTGAATTTTGATCTGAAATTTTCACTGTATAATGTCTAATCTATGTGATTTATCATAGAATTACATGTATTGACATGGAAGAAGATATTTATTTTTTTGCAATTCACCTAGTACAAGGCCCAGAGATTACTCCAGGTAGAGGGTTATAGAGTAAGAGGTATAATTTATGTCGATAAATTCTGGTATATAATTGTTTAACCTAGACTTGAACCAGTGAAAATTGTAGTGATTGGGAAAACATCCTCTTGGGAGTTAGTTCCACTGAATAGTGGTTTGCAGGAAGAAGCTGCTTGAGTGAAACTTTCCATATTCAAAGTGATCTGAGTATACACATAAGCATATCATTTATGCAAAGTAAAAAGAGGATTGGTCTGAGAATTGACCACTGGGTCATGCCTGCATTGATTGCTAGGGCCCCCATTAACAACTAACTTCAGGGACCTACCAATTAAGAAGGACTTTATTATTCAGAAGACTCTTACAATGATTCCATAGCTAGAGAGCTTGAGCAACAATCCTTTGTGCCACACTTTGTCAAAGGCCTTCAAAATATCTAATACTATGGTCTTTGGGGTGAATTTGTTGTCAAATACCTGACTGATTCTGTAAGTAATGCTAGTTAGGACATCAACAGTGGATTGAGCCGATTGAAACCCATACTGCTTGACACTCAAGAGGGTGTTCTTATCCAGGTGCTCAACAACCTTCTTGTTGATTATAACCAAAGAAAGCTTGCTAATGATACTGAAGATACTGATCAGGCTTGTGAAGTTTTTCTCCTTCAAGCAGCAGTTAAATAACTTCAGTCATAGTTCCGGGTTGATATTCTTGAAAACAACCACTGAGATTTTGTCTGAGCCAGTGGCTTTCTTAGGGTCAAGGCTTTTATAAGTCTTGAGACTTCTTGGGCTGAAATGAAAATATTACTGAGATTGTGTTCAGTGAGACATTGGAAGTTAGGAAGGGGATAGGCTTTGTAATCTCATTTTGAATTCAAGGCAAAGATTGAGGCAAAAAGCTTCACCTTATTTGTTGAGGAAGATATGACCTCAGGACCATTTATAATAGCCACTTTGCCATAATTTGGTTGGAGATCTTCCAGAACTCTCAGGATCCGATTTGCTAGTTTTCAACCTTGGCTTGGACTGCTTATGCATAGCAATACTTTGAATTTCTTGCAGCAATTGTGTGCAGTTCTGAATGCAGTAAAATTACACCACTTCTTTCGATAGAAATTGAAGTAGAGGATACACTGATCTATTGCTGCATCATATTCAAAGGTTAACCTGTTTGGTTTTTGTTGGAATTTTTTTGGAGTATAAAATTGTCCATTCCAAAAAGGGTCCATTCAGAGATGAGGGCAGCACTTTTGGAGGCAACATGCTTGAAAAAAATTGAAAGAGCTTCCACCATATGTGATCTAATATTGTCCCAGTCTGCTTTTGTGTAGCAAAAAATCATTCTATGAAACAGCAAATCAGGGGATGCTTTTGGTTTGGCATCAATTTGGATACTGATGAGACAATGGTCTGATGTGTGGGATGGGGGTGGGGGGGTTGGTTCTAAAAACTTTGCTAAGCATTTTTCAGTATGTTCAAAAATAAATGTTTGTTGTATAAAATTTTCATTATTTGTTGTATAAAATTTTCATTATTAGGTTCTTGATTTATTAATATATATATATATATATATATATATATATACACACACACACACACACACACACACACACATATGTGTATATGTGGGTATTACTAGGATGTAGAAGCCAGACAAAGTTTTATAAATTTGGCAAAATGGAAAACTTTTATTGATTTGATTATATGTTTCACCATTGTTAAATAGGCTTTATCAGATCAGAACAAAATAAATATGTTTTTCCTTCAGCATTAAATCTTTAATACTTTTTCTGTTAAGCTGGCATTTCTTGGTTGTAATGAAAGTACAAAATTGTGTGACTTTTGTTCAAAAGGTGTTATTTTAGTTTATGATGTTTTCTTTTCAATTCTTCTGGCTTAATCAAAAAATCTTTTATATTCTTCCTACTTTTCTGCTGGAAATTCAGATTTTCCAGAATGGGTTGAAAGTAAAAGATTCATATATTTTCTGATTAAGTGACAACATATTGTCACCATGGGAAACACAAAGACATACTTATGCATGTCTTTGTGTTTCCTAGGGTGACAATATATTTATTAATCTGATATAGAATTCCGACAAATTTCAATAAATTTAACAAAGTAGAAAACTGTTTTATTGATTTGCTTATACATTTCATCATCGTTAGAAAGGCTTCCTCAGATTGGAACAAAAGAAATATATATATATATATATATATGGGATAATGATATATACATTTTTATATATCAAGTACAAATTTTGGAGAAAAGATGTATGACAGTGGAAAAAGATTTCATGTGATGTGTTTCATCCTTTAGGACTTCAGGTTTGTTTAGGTTGTTTACATTGATGCAACTACACATGTGCATGAACTAGAGATGTTGGGAATTTTAAGTCTAAAAAACATTTTTTTTATATCTTTTGGGTATATAATCTAGCCAATTTCATTTAGATTCTATTTGTCTTTGTTTCCATCATCTTTGTTATTAAATATCCCATATTGTGATAAAAGAAAATTTACCAAGAATAGTGAAATGTAAGAACCTGGATCCAAATTTACTGTGGATGAACTATCAGTTAAAGCACTTAAGCACTTACTAAACTTTTTTGTCTTAGTGAATTATTTTCTCTTTTAATGTCAAAATTGTGGTTAGTCTTATTACAGTGAGCAACTAATGTGTTGTTTTTTAAAATGTCCCTTTTGTGTTCATATAATGTTTAATTTAAACTTTTTGAGGTTTCTCCAATATATTCTTTGTGGCAGTCCTTAGATGTGATAGAGTAAATTTCTCTTTCAAGTTTTGGCTTATTGCTTTGTTTTTTATTGCTTTAGATGTGATTGTGACAAATTTTATGTTGAGTTTAGATAAATTTTTTCTAATTGTAGCTGTAATATAGTGAGTAGAAAAATATATTTTGGGGATTTGTAGTGTTTATTGGGGGTGGGGGCTTTTCTATTTTGGAATGTTTTATGAGCTTTTTCTTTCACATCAAATATGAAATAGGGTGGTAGAAGAGCTTGAAAATGATTTCAGTGTGTTTCTCTTCATGTAAATATGTAAAGCTGGAAATTCTGGGTGCTTTTAAGTCGAATCCAATGATTATTCTTGATTTTATTTTGTTGTTATGATAGGAATAGAAATTTATTAGATCATTTTTATTAGCTAAATTTCAGTGGACACTAAGTTTTAAATTGCTAACACATTGTAGCATAATATCTAGGAAAGATAAAATATTGTTTGTTTCCATTTCATATGTAAATTCTATTGTATGTTCAACTTAGTTTAGGTCATGTACAAAACCAGGTAAACCAGTATCATTGGGATATAATAATAGAGCATCATTAATATATTGGAAGTATGTTGATTGTTTTGGTATTGGTAATTTAAATTATTGTTTATAAAAATTATTATTAAATGTGAAATACATTGATTGGTGATGAGATGGGGGATGAAATAAAGGATTCAATTCAAAATTCCAATCACCTGATGAAAGCTGGAGCATACAACATCTGAAATATCATGTATCTGTCAACAAAGTTTGAACTGTTGTCCTTATCTTTGTAAATAGTGTAAACAATTGGCATATCTTGGTTGTAATTGGTTTAAATGCCTTTTATGTCACCAAATTCTACCTTGTACAATATATATAATTCTGCCAATACTATTTACTATTTCACCATCTTCCAAACTTTCTTTTACTGCCTTGTAAATCCTGAAGAAAACCTTATCCCAACTTGAAAGATTTTATACAGACTTCTGAAATTATTATGCAAATGAAATAAACTTCAATAACTCAAAAAGTTCTGAACCAATATTTGTCAAATTTATGCTCATCCATTTCCACCCTTAGTAGAATATTTACCTAAATTTTCTGCCATTTAATGGTTAGTTTTTGAGATAGTTGGAATTTATGAAAATGGACTGACTGAAGTTAGTATTCAGATTAAACTAATATTAATTTAAGACCTCTGAAATCTAATAAAAACTATTTTTTTCTTTTTGTCCATAATATATGTTGAAACGTAGGTAAAGTGAAAGCCCTAACAATTGGTTAAAAACAGAAAATAACAAAGTTATTGAGTAAGGGAATGTCCATATTGGAGATATCAAAGGAGTTTATCAGAGGTCATTGAATGATAAAGAAGGCTGTTGAAAATATAACTAAGTTGAGAACTCGAAGCAAAGCTTTAAGAACTTGCTTCCACTAGATGATTGTAAACTAAAGTGAGTTATAACAAAACAATCACTTTTGGCCAGCACTCAAATCTTTGAAAAGGCAGAAATTGAAGGACAAAAGGTGTAGAAAAAGAAAAGCCAACCTCGAGGCATGTCAGTGACTCACAAGGGTGGCATTCCCAGCCCTGCATGGCATGGACGCTGGGCACCACATTCTGTGCGGACCTTATGTTTGTGACCACCCCACAAGAGGCTGGACAAGTGCTCAATTGCCTTCCTCTGGTCCTTACAAAGAGGAATTACAGCCAAGCGGTAAAGGATGAGGAAAGATGTAAGTGTCACAAGCCTCAGCTCTACCCTACAAGGACTACCTCCTTCAGATCCAAGTCTTGACCGATGCTCTGACCTTTGCTTGTACTTCTAAACAATTTTTCTCCAGCTGGAGGTCAGGTCCAAACCATACTCCAAGAATGTGGACAGGACCATCTGTCCAACCAAAGGGCCCCGGAAGAGTGACCCTTTTCCAGGAACCTAACTACAAACCAGAAGACTTGTTGCAATTAATCTTGGCCCTCATAACTTTCTGCACCACCTCAATGTCACTTTGACATGGCATGAAAATGGATACATTATTGGCATACGTGGAAACCTTGGCTCAAGCTCCACCAGGGACAGCAATTCCAAGTAGGGCCAGATTACTTGCCCTGTTCCTCAGCTGGCAAAAGACAGGCTCCAACACCAAAGCATAAGGTAGGGGTGACAGTGGGCAACCCTGACGAATCGACCGAGACAGTGCAAAAGTTCACGACCGCTTTCCGCTCACCTGTACCACAGCACTGGGGGAGTGATACAGGAAGCTAATCAACTTACAGAAGTTAGGTTGGAATGATGATCGACTCTATCAAATGCCTTGGACTGATCTAAATTGATTAGCATGCTTGCTCGTCGACTTTTACACCCTCTAGGTTATGGGCCTGTAATCATCTAATTCCTGCCCTCCATCCTTGCCCTTTTTCAACAGCATGACCACACCCCTGGTGATTTGACTGGGAAGGGACCCCTGCTGAAACCAGTTGTTGAACACGATAGTCAAAATCGCCATAAAGATGTGCAACAGCCTCAAGTAAATTCATAGGGTAAACCATCAAGTCCTGGAGACTTGCCACTGCTGACCCTCTTCAATGCCAAGTAATGTTCAATAACGTTCAATAACGTTGAAGTAAAACTTCAATTGGACACAGGCAGCAATATTACTATAATTAATAAAAAAACATACAAGAATATTGGTGAACCTACATTAACAAAAACCAAATAAGTTATGCATGGTGTTGCAGGGAAAAAAATTATATGTAATATCTCTTGTACCATTAAAACTTTAAAAACTAAGGCATTTGTATTAAAACATAACATGTTGAACTTATTGTAGACTGGATGGAATTGTTCAATTTGTGAAATCTGCACATAAATTTGTTCTATAAAAAAGTGAACTGCCCCTCCTCTAAAACAAGTATGTAGACTGAAATTTTTCTGAAGGAGTTTAAGTGTTCTCCAATGGTCTTGGAAAATGTATGAAGGTGAAGGCAATTTTTCACTTAAAGAAAAATGTAGTTCCTGCATTTAAACCTAAATGTAGTGTGCCTTTTGCAGTTGTAGAACCTATTAACAAAGAACTTTACAGATTAGAATTTCCAGGAATTATTTCAACTACAGATTATTCTGAGTGGGCAGTTCCAACAGTCTATGTAAAAAAGAAAAATAGTAATATTTGTGTATGTGCAGATTTTTCTACAGGGTTAAATGTAACACATATTTGTTACCATTGTTACTACCTAACACATATTTGTTACCATCTCCAGAAGAAATTTTTGCCAAATTAAATGGTGAAAGACCTTTCAGATGCATATATACAAATTGAAATGAATGAAAAATGTAAAAATTTGGTAACAATTAACATACCTAAGGGTTTATACAGTTTTACTAGGTTACCATTTGGGATCAAAGTGGCACCTAGCATTTCCATCAAGTAATGGATATGATGCTAGCTGGCTTAGATTTTGCCGTTGTATATTTGGACGAAACTAGGTAGCAGCATTCAGAACACTTTCAGCAATTATTCCAAAGAATTGATTAATACTCAGTGAGGAGAAATGCCAATCAGAAGTAATATACATTACTTGGGACAAATAATTGATGCAAATGGGTGTAGACTAGACTCATCAAGGATGAGTGCTATTAAAAATATGCCTGCTCTGACAAAAGTTGCTACTTTAAAATCAATTCTAGGGCTTGCAAACTATTACAATCTTTATATATCAAATATGCATAAATTTAGAGCACCATTAAATGAATTGTTGAAGAAAGATGAGTGTGGAATTGGTCTGATGAATGACAAAAATCTTTTGAAGGCATAAAGAACACATTATCATCTGAATAATGCATTGGTTTTTCAGGTAAAATGTAATTACTATATTTTTCATGCTATGATGGACACAATTTTCTAAACAGTAAACATACCTTTTTGTATCTGGCTAGCCCTGGCAATCTTTTTAAAAAAAATTTTGTACCATCTGTAATATGACAAAAATGTCACACATTATTCAGGCTTATACAAAAATTTGTAAATGGGTCTTACAACTGCATTGGGCATGAATGAAACTCTAGTACTAGTTTCATTTGTCTGTCTATGTTTCTGAGATGAGGTATTGTAATTATTTACACTATTTACCTTGTTCAGACTTGTCCTGATCTTTGTTGCTATATTCACAACATTTCTGCCATTGTACATTCCTCAAGGACATATGGCCCAGTAAAAAAAGTGTTGATTGAATCCAGTGACTTGCCCCAAAGAGTTGTGAGTTCAATACTTGGCTACAGTGTAGTTTCATTTTATTTTTGTAACATTACTTCAAACATCCTTGTTTTATGTCCCAATATTTATAGAGTTGTTGCTAATGCTGTTGTTGCAATAACTGTTTTTGCTGTTGTTGCCTTTGATGTTGTTCCACTAGGTGTTCGATATTGTGTGTTACTCAAATCCTTGGTTGACGTGAGTTCAGCAATCCTTACCACATGAGAATTATTTTTGCAAACATGAGTTTCAAATCCTCATTGCCATTGTTATAATGCTCATAGAAGCTGTGGGGAAAATAGAAACGGCCTACCTCACAAACGTTCTCGCATCTGCCTGGCCTGTGGGTTGAGAAAGGAAAGAAAAGATTCAAAATGGCGTCCGTGACTTTTAATATTCACGGTCTCGTGCAGTCACGCAAAGTCGCGTTACACACATGCTAATGAGGTGTGTCTGGGCTCCATAAAAGCAGGTTGCTTGGAGACATTGGCAGACCAACATTTCACCCGTGCTTGGTGTACATCGTTTTGCGTTGCAGCGTGTCAGACATTTTCAGACGGAAAGAGTTGCGTCCCTTACACTGTTTAAGTCGACTCATTTGCTACAGAAGCTCATTGTTTTGGTTAATAATATTCTAAAGAAAACCCTGAAACAAATGATTAGTGAAGAACTGTTTAATCACATGGATTAATCATACAATACTAGCAAATATTGTAATTAGTGTGATACAATTTGTGGCTACTTTTTGTCTCAATTGTGACTCCTCTCAGTCCATGTTCAACAATTTAGTGTAAAGAAGGTTGGTTGTCTTTCTACACAACATGAAGCATAGCCATCATTAAAGCAATAAGTATGGAAAACTGTTGAGACTTATAATACAGAAAGTCAAAATTGAAAACATTATTTAAAATATATTGCTATACATATCTATTGAGTATTTCCAAGCTCATTCTTGGGGAACAAAATGAACTGTTTCTATTTCATTCCAAAATCTATGTAATGTTTGGTATGAATAAACTGCTATTGATTTTTTATTAATAGTGGCCATTTCATCACAAAAATATACATTTTGGAATCTCTATTTATGCTACAATATTTTTACATTTTAATTCTAAAGTAATGAATTGTTTGACTTTTTTGACAGCATAGAAAAATAGATATCCAATAATAAATATGCAAACAAAGAAAGATATAAATTAAAACTACGAATTAGTAGTGGCAATGTAGATTTTTTTTAACATCATTGTCATAATGACTATTAAGTAATAATTTCAGAATACATGAAATTTTTACCTGCACTTTTATCCACCACATAAAAGTAAAATGTTTACAATCTTTTACTATTACTGTTATTATGTTTACATATAAACCATATATCATTATTTAGAGAAATTCAAAATGCAGATGCAAATATAAATTCATATTTTGTATTTACAGCTTCTTGGTGCTACTGATCTGAGTAAAGATGAACGTTACAAAACAAACAAATTAAGAGTACTCAATCGAAAATGTTTGCTCAGGCAATTGTCAGACATGTAAGAAAAGTTTTTAATTTCCTTTCTCCTGTTCGAACTTTGTTAAAATTTTACCCTTAGCCATTTTAAAATCTGAAATTTAATACTTAGATGTCTACATGCCTGAAGCTATGAGCACACTGAGTAGTTCTAAAATTTTTGTTCAGTAATTTGTTTTTTTCTTATCTTTATGCCCAACCAAACAAATTCTTTTTTCAATGTTTGTTTAAATTAAAAGCTTAAAATGTTCACTTGTTGATAAACTACATTTTTTAATTAATGTAAATGTTTTGCAAATATATTTTGATTATACTAACAGTATTTTATATTTTTTTAACCCTTTTGTATCTGGTCTTAAGATTTTGACCATGTGTGTATATGCATATAAAAGCAGATAAGTATTATAAATATTGGACACTTGTATATAAAATTGTATATTAAAAACAACTGGACCATGTTGACAGTAACATGTCACCTGAATCAAGCTGTTATGATTTATCTTAATTTTAAAAATCAAATTCATTGTGTTGGAATTTTCCCAAATATTTCTTCTGGAAAGCACATTCCAAATTTGAAAAAGAAATTTATTTTAAAGAATTATTTTTTGCAACAGGATAAAATATCTGTGGTTTATTGTAATCTAAAAATAAAATGAAGAAGAATGAAGAATAGCACATACTCACTAATTCCTGCCACAGAAGTGAGCTAGAGGGAAAATAATATATGGAGCTGTAAGCTTTGACATCCTTCCATTCTTTCACTGAAGTGTAATGTGTTTTTTTTCTTATTTTTTTTCTCTTCACTGCTTCTGCTTCTTCCTTTTAATTCTGGCAATTGCAATGCCTGCTCCTGCTTGTTAGTCAAAAACCAATGTAACAACGGAGAAGCAAAATCAAACACCACTCACTTCCCTAGTTATATGAACATTTGTAGTGAGTGCAAAATAATAACTCTCTTTACCCACTTCCTTCAAATTTGGAGGACTGAGGAAAAAGACAAAGGAATTTGCGAGCCTATGTGAAATTGTTTTTGGATGAATGAAAACTTTGTATTTACAGAAATTAGGTATTTAGACAAGGAGAAGAAAGTAGTATACAAAATTCCTTCTGATATAATTTTTCTCCTAATGAGAAAAATTAGAGAAGAGTGTCAGAAGTCATGTGAAAAGTTTTGTTTTTGTTCATTGCGTCCAGCATTACTCACCAGTTATATTATCAGCTTTTAACCAAGTACATAGCATTTCAAAGAATTTTCTTTCAACAATCCAAGAAACCTAAGTATTTAAAACCATCTCTCTTCATTTACTTTTGAATGTATGCAACTGTATATCCCTTCTATTAGTAATAAACTTCCTTACCTTTGTTTTAAACATTTCTTTGAATATTATTTTGTGTCAGATCATTTAATCTTTTCTATGAACATTTCTTCTTCATGACAATTTGTTAAAACTATAGACCTTAAAAATTACTGATTTATTTTCCTGAAACAAGCTACTGACACAACTTCAAGTGTGTAAGTTCGTAAATAAATTTCTTATCTTGTTTTGTTAAAATTATTCATGCTTCTTCGTCTTTACCATCCTTCATTAACATTCTTGGCATGGGTAAATAAACTGTTCATTCTTGTCCCATGTTACTATACATTTATTACCCACAGTGCTTTGGTCCTTGTCCATAAAAAAATATCTCCTCATTTACACAGTTTCTTTGTTGGCATTTGAGTAAGTGATACTTCTTCCTCTATTCATTTATTCAAATCAAAATATCAAATGTTATCTTTTAAATAAAATTCAGGCATAAAATATGATTTAATTTTTTCATCTAATTAAAATTACTCTATCAGCTATTATATTTATCTTGAACTGAAATCATTTGGAGTTGTTTTTTATTGTGTGAACTAATTAATAATGTCCAACTTCAGGTTCCAGTTGAATCCCAATAATTTATTATCCATTATGATAAGTTTGATGTTATTGGCTTCATATTATCTACTTTCAGCTATATGGCATCAATCACTCAACTCTTGATGACCTGTCTATGTATGTTTATCTGTTTCCTCCATGCACAACAACCTGATTTATTTATAAGTGACCTGGAACCAATCAAATCTATCAAGGCCATACATTTCTTCTTATTGATGTGCATTTTAATCACAGGGCACACCTCATTTATATCTTTTGTGGGAAGAAAACACTCATCTCTCATCCTTTTCCCTGAAACTAAAGCAAAATAACCCAATCTCTTACATCAAAATCAATATACTTCTTGGTGCTGCTTTCATGCACATCCTTAAAAGTTGATACTGGCAATCTTTGTGGAAATTTTAGCATGCCAATTAGTGGTAGGGATGTTTGTTTCATCTATATCCCACTGCATCTGGTTCTTCAGTCACCACTTCATTTTTAATTATTGCATGAGCCATAGTCAGATATCCATTTTGATGTTGCTTGCAGTGTTTGATTTTATTTGGCAGTCCCATCATGAATGCATCTGCCAGGTGCTGATCTGATATTCCTCCAAACAATGCAGTGATTTTTCACAGGTCCATTAGAAAAACATTGACAAACTTACCAGGGTACAGATGATGGGTTGTAAATTGCTTGTAAGCCATAAAAGAGCCAGTCAAAACAGCAGTTAGTAATTAATGGCTTTTATTTGTGTAGTGTCAGACTTTTCATTCTTTCTGAGCTGCTGCTACACAGCAAAAGCCCTGTTGCTTAGGCAAAGTGGAAAGTTGTGCTTAAACCTTTATATTGCACACATTTAGCAAACAAGATCTGCTTTTTTAACCATTCCATCATATGTGTACTTGTTGCTGTGCTATTAATTCAGGCATTAGATCAATATCAAATGATGTGTCTGCCATGTCTGCATTAGCTTTGAAGAAAGAGTAGATTGCAAAATCAGTCATAATATCCATGTGCTCACTCAGCTAACGTGCTGCCAAAACAACTCTCCATGATAACACAGGATTTTTTAAAGCCCTCCAAAAGACTCTGTTTATGATTGGCAGGGAATGAACAAATTTGCATGTGTGCATCTATAATGTTAATCTTTTCTGAGTGGGTTGTCTTTTTTTCCAGTGTTTTGATTGTTATGATATGTTGCAATTTTCTTCTTCACAGTGCTCATCAATTAAAATAAACATCTTATTAATATCTTGTTATAAGCATTCTTGTCTTCTTTGTCATTATTCCAAGATTTTGTCAATTTTAACTTTGGAGGACATATGGCTAGCTCAGGCTTGTGATGTTTCAACTCTAATCTTGGAACTTCTTCAGGTCTCCTAAGCAAAATGTCAGTGGAGGAGCTTCCTGTTCAAGCTATTGCCAAACTAGAGACTGGAACAGTGGCTCATCTTGTCATGTTTAGTATTATATTTGGTTTCTAGTGTTGTGACCATGGATCCTGACACTGTGATAAAGATACACAGCATATAATGTTATATTTGGCGACTACTACCAGAATATCAGTGGTCTAACAGATTCCCCACTCCCAGCCATGGTGTTACATAGGTTAGTCTGAATTATGAAAATTGACAAACTTTTTTGTTGTGGCATACCTGTATATGTAGTAGGCAAAGGACCCTGTATCATAGTTTTTGCATTTTCTCATTTTTCAAAGATTGATTGTTCTGTTTTAATGTCATATCAATTTTTTTGGTTATTTAATGCTGAAAAAAAAAAGAATATATAGCTTATAAACAATCTGTTGTGTAATTGGTTCCATCACTCTCCAGTTATGCCTTTAGAGCAAAGTTAGTTATTGCTGTAATTTGTGGTATAGACCAACCTCCTTCAAGTAGGACAGTCACTACTTTTATCTTCTTGAAAAGGTCCTCTAGACTAGTCATGTCACAAAACTTTTGATGTACAGGAGCAAAATTACTATTATCAGTTAGAATATATTTTACGTTATCTGTCTGCTGGTATACTGTGGGTTCAGGAGGATGTTCATTTTTTAGGAAAAATGAATGATTGATATAGATGTATCCTATTCTGATTCTTGATAGGATGACTTCTTCCTTCCAAGAAAGTCTGAAACTATGATGCCATTTTCCTAGAATTGGTTTAATTTTGTAAAGAAGGAATTAAAAGAGATTATGATATTTGCTCATTTCGTCATATTTTGGGAGTGAGAACTTTCTAACATCCCTGTGTAATTATTCAGTAGTATTTCTTTCATCATCTTTCATTTTTTTATCACACACCAACATTATGGCAATCTTTATATATTTGAAATTAAGAAATAAATATAGTCATATTAGTATATACAGTGGTGGGGGGGAATATTTGTATGTGTACAAATTTTTAATTTATTGTGTTTCCAACTAATGAATAAACATACTTTTCATATAATTAACTGTACACAGATGCATAATAACTAAATATGCATAGAAAACAGAAAAAGATTGATTTAATAGAAATAAAGCTCATTTATCCATTTTAATAGGTAAAAAAAATATTTGTACAATACAAAAAAGAATACATAATCTTCATTTAATACTTTGTAGAATAGCTATGATTTGCTTCTACAGCAACCAACCTCTTGTAGTTCTCAATTAATGATTTGCAAATTATAGTTGGTATTTTGTTCCATTCTTTTTCGCATATGGTCTTCAGATCCGGGATGTTTGTTGGAGCTCTCAATTGGATTTGAAATGGCACAGATTTTTGATTGGGTTTAAATTTGGGGACTGACTTGGCCATTTCAGGGTATTTACATTATTTTCAGCAAACCATTTTTTAGTAGATTTTTCAGTGTGCTTAGGATCATTATCTTGTATTTGCTTCCAAAATATTTTGATATGCTATGACATTCTACCATCTATTACCAATATGTTGCCAGCACCTTTTGCAGAAAAACTTACCCAAACCATGATGCTGCCACCACCAAATTTCACTATTGGAACTGTGTTCTTTTGTTTGAAGGCATCGTCATCTTTCCTCCATACATGATTTCTAAAATTACATCCAAACAACTCAGTATGATTTTCCCTTATCCTTATGTTCACAAATGAATTTCAACCTGGTATCTGTCTTTTCAATAGCAGTGGAGTTTTCTATATGGAGCATGACTTTAGATTGTTCCTATGAATTTCATTGCTTATTGTTTGTTTAGTGACACAGATTCCTGATGAAAGCAAATCAACCTGCAACTCTTGACAAGTAACCATTGGACTTTGTTTAATTTGATACATTAATTTCATCAAAGATCTTGCAGTAATCTTCCACAGAATGACCAGTTCTTTGGTTTTCAACAGTTTTGAGTTTTTTTATACCTTGCAATGAATGAACTAATGGTAGTAAATGGAATATTTAGGTTGTTTGAGATTTTCCTGTAACTTTTATCTTCTTTCCAGAGCTTAACAATCAGTTCTTTTTGCGAATTTGTCAATTCTTTACCTGTTGCTATGATGATAACCTTCTTGCATGATTATCAATTACAGAATGTTCTGTTTGTATTTTTTAGGCTAAGAATAACTACTGATAACATTACTGGAATATTCTAGAATATTCCACTTGAATAATTTAGAATATTAAAGCAATTTAAAAGTTTTAAAATCTGAAATTTGTGTTGTATGAATATTTTTTCACCCATTAAAATTGGAATTATTTCTATTTAATCAAATTTTTTTTTCTGTTTTCTATGCATATTTAGTTATTATGCATCTGTATACAATTAATTAGATGAAAAGTATGTTTATTCATTAGTTGGAAATACAACAAATTAAAAATTTGTGTGCGTACGAATATTTGTTTCCCCCCACTGTATATTTATTTACAATATAATGAATAACCATCAATTTCCATAATAAAATATCACACCACAAAGTTATAAATGTTTCTAATAAAAACAAGTAAACTGAAACTCACATGGTATATTTATCATATACTGCAAATAATCCTATCATCAATTGATTAATCCCAATTTTATTGTGAAAAAAATTGACTTGGTATGTGAAATATCTTTTGAAGATTATTAAATTGCTGTTTAATTGATAGCATAAAGCCCATAAATTCTGAAGATTTAGATGAAAAAGAGACTTTTCTGAATTTCTAGGATGATGAGTTATCATTATTTGCATTCAGATTAATGTCCTCAACTTCATTGTTATTATCAGATTTTACTTTCTAACCTTCTTAAGGAATCTGTCAATTTGGGTAACCTTCAGGGAATTTCAAATTGAACCCTTTATTTAATCTATGGAGGTAGATTGTTTTTGTTCCACTGTCTATGTCTCAGAATATCTCATCTTATTTGTTTTTAATAATGATCAATTATTGCTTGCCCTGTTTCTACTGTGTTTGAATCCCTACTCACAGTTACTATGCCACCAAATTCATGAACCAAACAATTTAATCCTTTATGCTTCAAAATTGTCCTACAGGACAATCCTGAAGTTAGAACTTGGAGCCTTTATCATTCTGTGAATAATAAATGTCTCTTATTCATGATCTAGCAAAGTTTAACTTTTGAACCTGCCAAAAAATGGTGTATCAAAAGGATGTTTTTTTCTCCTGACACTGCTATTACTGTATACTCCCTCAGCATTTTTGTTCTAAAATGCTATATTTAAAATTTTAATAAACTCAAATATGTTACACATTATTTAGTTGTTAGATTGTTTATTTATAAGATTAATTTTATATTTATAAAATTATAAAAATATGTAAACCAGAAGAATTATTTTAAGCATTTTTTTTCAGATTCAGTCAGAAGAATACAACTGAATGGCTGAAACAATTTGAAGGATGTGAATTTCCATATGGACCAATCAACAATATGAGCCAAGTATTTGCAGACCAGCAGGTTTGTTAATAAATTTTCAAAAGTTATATATTAGATTCATTGTGCTTGAGGCCTTATCAATCATTAGTTCAAATTTAATAATTGAATCTTAGTCCATACTTCTTCAAACTAAATTTCTTTATTCAAAGTGAACTTCTCTGCATAAATGCAATATACTGTATCAAAACTGTCCTTAAAAAATAGGAGTTATCTCTGTTGAAAATTGGATTTGTGAAATTCTAATGTAACTACAAGCTTGAAAAAGTCATAACTAAGGTTTTATGAGTTGTGGCTTTCTCAACCTTGTGCTAATATTTGAACTTCACAAATTCTATTTTTCACTAAGACAAGTCCTATTTTTTAAAGATAGCTTATAACTCATGAAACTCATGGGCAATGAAATAATTCAAGGAATTTAATGGTCTGTAGATGAAAAGAAAATGTTTTTATTTTAATAACTTATGGCAAACATAAAGAAATTGGTACAAATTCATTTTTTTATCTTAAACTCTAAAATCTGTTGATGAAATAATAATTAGCATCTGGAATTCAAAGTGAAATGTTTTTCAATGCTTTGAAAAATTCAATGTTTCTGTTTTGTTCTAATTCAAAAAACTTAGATATAAATTAATATAAATGTTATAAACAGTTGATCAGTTACAATTTATAAGTATTATGAATCATTTTATACTTGTTAATATTATAATTAATTTTTTTTACAGATGAAACATAAATGTAAATTTTAAATATTAGATATATTCTAAACAATTTAAATTACTAAATTATTTTTAACTTATATGGATTAGCATTGCATTCTATTTTATTATGTTTTGTAACAGTATTAAAAAGTGAATGGTGACATGAAGAAGACACCAATTGTCAGTGTTATATAGAAATAAAGTGTTGCTGCCAACACTTGAATTTGAACATAGATCACCAGTGAGCAAACACAGGCAATCCCATTATTCAATTAAAGTAGACCACATAACCATAAAGGAAACATATATATGTAGGAAGTAACTGACGACAAGCAATTGCTATTTCTAGTCTATCCTCTATACTATATGGATTGTCATTCTAATTTATCCTCCATTACTATTCGGATCATCATTTCTACTCTATCCGCCATTACTATACAGACCATTATTCTCTACTCTATTTCACTATACAGATTACTATTCGAGCGTGTATTAATAAGTAATTACTATTTGTGCTATTTGAAGACGTCTGGCACCAGTATTTTCAACAGCATATTATACTTGTATCTGCGATTACAAAGTCTCTACTACAATGAGCATTTCAAAAGTGACAATATGTATTTGTTGGCATCACAAAAGTGGCAATGAGTGTTCATTGACCTCACAAAAGTGGCAACAAGTATTCCTTGAAATTACATGAGAATTCATTCAGCAGAGTACAGCAAAATGGAAGAAGTAAAAGCTATCAAGGTTCAAATGCTGGTGCTACAGAAGCAACATCAAGAACAACATTTGCAACAACAAAAATTACAAGAACAACATTTGGAGCAACAAAAACACAAACTGAACAGCAATTACAACTACAACAACAGAAGTTTTTTGAGTTGTTTACCAAAACCATTGACAGTAAAACTTCTGATTCATTCACTCCAGATACTGTTGCTAATTCAATCAGCAAATTTGTATGCAGATGAAGGGATAGCTTTTCCAGCTTATTACAGAAGATACAAAAAGATCTTCAAAAGGTATTGTTTGCATTGGAATGATTAAAAGAAAATTTATTATTAAGGAAATTGTTCCCTGCAGAACATGAAAGATATGTGAATTATATTTTGCTGAAAAAGACAGGAGATAGATTTTGATGAAACTTCTAATTCTATCAAAAAAATTTTGTTGATATTTTCATTATTTAATACACAATAGCAATGTCTTAGTAAAATCTGATGGTGAAGATATTGTCACTTATGCAGGAGTTGTGAATCGAGAATGTGAGAAGTTAAAGTTAACTGAATTAACTCCTGATTTATTTAAATGCCTGATATTCTTACAGGATTTAACTTCTAATAAGGTCATGGAGATAAGATCCAGGATATTTACAGAATTAGAAAGGGATTCCAAATTAACTCTCCAGAAAATAGCGGAAGAATGTCAAGGTATTGTGAATTTGAAACTCGATATCACAAGGATTGAGGAAAAAGACAATTCACAAGTATATAGTGTCTGAACATCTAAGAGAAAAAATTACAAATGTTTTTCAACTCCTAAGAGAACAGGAAAAAGATGATAAACCCCATTCAGTACCTAATACTTGTCATGGTTGTGGAGGTAAGCATTTTAAAAGTGATTGTTTTTTCAAGAACAAAAAATGTTACGAATCTGGGAGATTAGGACACAAAAGTATGTGTTGCAGATACAAGAAATGGAGAAAAAATAAAATGTATGTGAACATGATAAATACATGGAGTAACGAAAAAAAGCCTAAAAGGGAAATTAACAAGACATCTCAAAAGATCAAATTAACGATGTAAAATTGCATAAACCTGGTTTATTGAAGTCTGATAAAGTTGCGTATGGAGTCTCAAGAAAGAGATTGAACTTTTTGGGTGAATTCAGCTATAATGTTTCTTTAGTGGGAAAAACCAAAAAAGCAGTGGTGTTTATATTAAAGAAGACTGCTAATTTATTTGGAAGAGACTGGATTGTATTATTTGATCTTTGGAACCTTCTAATTAACACTTTTTGCATCAAGATAAATGTTGTTATGACCAGTACTAATATGGTAATTGAAAAATGAACTGAAAAAAGTTTTCCAGAAGGTCTAGGGACATCTGTCTATATTTCTGAGATGAGGTATTATGTACACTATTGTCTTCATTTTTGTTTCTGTATTTATCACAATGTTTTGGCCATCATATGCTTCGGCTTTCTTCAGCTGGCTGGAATGTCGAACTGAACCCTTTATTTCACTCACTGTTCTAGTTCCACATGCCATGTTTAATGGATGTCAGTTATTAGTTATCTTCTGTTAATTCACCTCTCCAAGTTCTCCACTGCCTTAACCAGGTATTGAACTCACAACTCTTTGGGTCCTGTAACTGGATCTAACCAACGTCTTTATCCACTGTGCCATGTGTCTTTAAGGGCGTCTGTGTATGAATTATAATATTAATGTCTTCAGCACCATTTTTTTACCAGTGTTCATATTGCAATTTTTGCTGTTTTCATTGCATTTTTTTTTACCATTAAAAGTGGTAATGAGTGTTCATTGACATCACAAAAGTCAGAAAAACTAAAATGGAAACATTTATTAATGGAACTAATAAAAACCTCATCCTGCACCAGTCATTGCGCAGATTACAAAGGTTACAAACTCAAAGGCAAAACAAAAAATATATACGACGGGCACTATTCCTCCAAATAATGAGAATGAAAGTCATCTGATAGTCAAGTACAAGCAACACCTACTAATAAGCAAAAGAAGAAAATACTAAATAAACAATTCTAAGTAACATATATGAGCAGACTATGATGATTTACACAAACTTTCAAAATATCAATGAAATATATAATAGCAAGAATAAAATTTTCAAACATCAAAGTAATTATTGATTTTAATAAACTAACAAATGTAAAAAGGGACATTATTAAAAAAAAATGATTGATGCAGAGTGTTGAATAGAAGCTTAAAACTGAACTAAATAATAAATTACATAAATCAATATACAAAGCTCTATTTTTTGACACAAAAAGCATTATCATACACAGGAAAATGTATTCATTTTATGCTGTGGTCAACAGCTCTAACTTTTATTTTGAAAAGACAGTTGAATATTGATAAGTAAATGAAAATTAGGAAGGGGTTCCCGGATCTTTTCCTTTTTTCTGGCCTCTGTATTAGTGCTGTCATGAATCCATTGTGATATGTGCAGACTGTGGTAATGTCTCTTCATACTGAGAGTACCGGGTTGACAGTTTTCTGGTTGCTGTTCCCAACTGGTAGTTAGGAGCACTAACTCTTGCGTAGCAGCTTGAGCAGTTGCTCTGATCAACAGTTGCATATTATCAGGGTGCCTGTAATGCCATGTTGTGCATGGAAGGGTGTCCCTGCACACACCTCCAGTGGGCAACCCCAAAGCCACACTATGTTGCAGGCTGTGCCAGCTCCTCTCTGCCTATTTTACATAAGATGACCATTCAGTTACTATTACTTTAGGCCCTCTCACTTTCACTACCAATATTCCCGTCATGACTACAATCAAAGAAACAAACCTAAACCATCTCTAAAAAGTCGTCTAAAACATAACCTTCACCAAAATCCGTGGCATTTGGACCAACTTTTGCAGTGTTAAATTGTTCGTCGTTGAGAAGTCTCCTGACCTACTAGCTCTCTGCGAGACCAACCTTATTCTGTCAGTCCCCTCCTCTGACTTCTCAATTCCCGGTTACCTTCTTCTCCTAAGAAATGACTCTATTGCCCACATTGCGTGGCCTGGGAGTTTACACACGAGACCATCTGCCACTGGCTAGGGAACTCTCTCTCAAATCTTCAGACCATTCATACATCGTCTATCTCTCCTCAAATCTATAAGCTATGTCTTCTTAGTCTGTCCCTCTCCATCCTCCCAAGTACTCAATTGCATTTCTGATAATATAGACAAGGTTATCTCTCTACGTCCATCTGCAAACATGTGTGTTTGGTGACTTCAATGCCCACCATAACAAATGGCTTAAACACTCTATAACTGACCTTCCTGGCATAAAAAACATTTAACTTTTCAATCACTCAATCGGTTGACTTTCCTACACATTTCCCCAGCAACCATAATGGTAAGGCTTCCATTCTTGATCTCTGTTTTACCTCCATTGGCAACTCTGATCATGTCGTCGTGTCTGTTTTCATCTCCTTCTCACAAGTTTGGTTCACAAGATTATTGGCAGCTCTGCAAAAGCATGCTGAACATCAAACCCTCAATACCCCCTTAATTCAACCAATTTGAGGTCTTAACCTCCTCCGCTGATAAGGGTAAATGCTTTGCTCGTAAT